TTACTACGGGCTGCAGTGGCGCGAGGTCGCACTGGGCCCCGAACGCTGGAAAGACTCCGAGTTTGACTGGAGTAACTGGCGTCGTGAGGTTCAACACGGACAGGGAACATCTAAAAAACCCAGAACCCACACCTCCGATTGCTCCTGGATTTATTTGAGCTTCAAACATTATGCTTTCCTGTCCTCGGATCTGAGTTCCTTCTAGTGCTGAATCTTGGATCGATTTGGGGGGCCCCTCTTTAAGTCTGCCGCTCTTTCTCACTTCCCCTTGTAGAGGCTCAGTGCCTCCAGGCACCAACTTCGAGTTTTAAGTCACCCGAACGGCTAGGGCCCTGGAGCCACCGTCTTGAAGGCCGAGTCAAGTCAAGTCGTCGTCGTCATCATCATCAGCAGCAGCATCATCATCAGCATCATCATCATCATCATTATCATTATCATTATCATTCGCATCATCAATATCATCATCATGATCCTTCTCCCCACCCCCTCGTCCTCTTCTTCCTCCTCCTCCTCATCCTCCTCCTCCTCCTCCTTATCCTCCTCCTTCTCCTCCTCCTCCTCTCCTTCTTCCTTCTCCTCCTCCTGCTGCTCCCCCTCCTTGTGCTCATCATCCTTCTCCTCCAGCTCCCCCTCCTCCTCTTCTTTTTTTTCTTTTTCCTCCTCCTCCTCCTCCTCCTCCTCCGCCTCCTCCTCCTCCTCCTCCTCCTCCCCCCCTGCTGCTCCCCCTGCTCCTCCTCCTCCTCCTCCTCCTCCTCCTCCTCCTCCTCCTTTCTTCCCCTCCTCCTCATCCACGCGGCGAGCTCCTTGTTTTTTTCCTTGGGCGCGGCAGCTTGTCGGGGCCCGCTCGCCGCTGGTCGCGCCCGAAGGGCCCCCCGGGGGCGGCCGTGCGCCTCTCGGCGGACTCTCTCGCCGCGCCCGCCGAGCTCAGCGGCGCGCGTCAGCCACGCGCAGGTGGGGTGTGTAGGGGGGAGGGGGGCAGGCTTCTCAGAAGCACCCCTTCTTCTTGGAAGGGGCCTGGCCTTGTCTGTCGATGTGGGGCCGGCGCCTTCTAAGCAGCGGCCTCCTTCCATGCAGCCTTCCCCCTCCCCCTACCGCTCTGTGCGCGCCGTCCAACGCGGGAGGTGGGGGGCAGCGGCGGAGTCAAGCAGTGGCGAGGCGGCCTGGCTTGCCCAGAGACCCAACAGCGAATGGTCTTAAGAGCCTCTCGTGTTCTGCACGAGCTGCTCCTAGAACGTGTCTGGCCGAGAGACTTGTTTGTACAATGTTCTAAGCACATGTTTACTGGACCAATCTTCGGTTATTGCAATCGATTTGTTCTGGCAGGCTCGTAGGAATGCCAGGGCCGGGCTGGTCCCTGCTCAAGGAAGGGTGTGCGACGGCCTTCTCTATGGTCGGTTACGATCGACATGGGTACGGAATGATGGGTGGCGAAGACCTGCACCAGTTCCTGTCCACCTTGGCTGGGCCGCGCGTAATGGGGGGGGCGGTACATGGGGGCGCAGCGAGGTAGGCCCATAAAGGGGCCCTTCGGGCCGAGAAGGGAGCCTTTCGGGCCCGACAAGGGCACCTGTCTTCCCGCCCATGTATCGCCCCCCGTTGAGTCAAATATATTTGGGGCTGAATGTGATGTCGGTGTCCCTGCGGGACGCTGTTTCTTTGAGCAGGCAGTCGCCTGCACAACAACGGTTGTTACCGTTTTTGTTGACAACGTCTGCTGTCGGGCATCGAGCCTACTGTTCCCGTGCCCATCTTGGCGTGCTAATCTGAGAAGGCACGGGAGCGGGTGGTCTTCGAACAACACACACACACACACTTGCGCCCCATTCACTTGGTGATTCAGAGAAGCAAGAAATCATGATACTTTCATGTCCTATGGTGTTCTTCATATTACATCCAGTTCAACCGGCTCCAGAAACGAGGGCCGTCAGAATTTCTGAAACTCTTGGAACGTAGCTTGAGCCAGTCGCATCATAACATCATGTTTGTCCTAGTGATGTTTTTTTGTACCCCTCCCCCTTAATCATGATCAATGCGTGGCGGTGGATCTGATGACTTGCGGTTCGCCGCCGTCTTCCCCAAACGTGCCAATTCTGAGTTTTCGGGGAGAGGGGTCTCTGCTTGTTGGGTTCCATCTGGTTAGGGGCGCCAGCTGCGGCGGCTTGGTGCAGCGTCGTCCCAGCGGCGACCCTGGTGCGGGCGCGTACGCTCGAACGCCGCTCGGGGGCTCCCACACGGTGTGGTGATCACACCGCGCAGTGAATCAGTGGAGTCTGGGGGTTCACCACGCGGTTTTGGGACTTGGGTCGTTCTCCGAGGATGCCTCGGGCGGCAGGCGGCCGCCAGGGTTCCAACACCGTGCAGTGACGTACCGCGCGGTCCGTCACCCCGCGGTTCGGGAGCCCCGAAGCCGCTTGATGCTTCGAGGGCATCGAACGGTTGGCTCTCGAGGTTGAGCCATCCTCTCGGCGCCGGCGGGAACCGACGCGGATTCGTCATGGCAGGAACTTGCTGTATTCGAAGAACAAAAACCATATAAACATAATTTTTTGGCGCTCCGCGCGGATTTCTTGGATCCGCGCCTCGGCCCCCCGGCGGCGCCTCGGGCGCTGCCCTTGGCGCGCTCCGCGCGCCAGGGAGGGGGGTCCAGCGCGAACACAAGAAATCCGCGCGGAGCGCCAAAAGTTTATGTTTATGTGATGTCTTGTTTTATGTATGGACCTACACTGAGCCTCAAGCTTTTTCCCCAACCATACTGTGGTCTTAGGTCGTCGTTCTGAATCGAGATCCCTGCGACTCCTCCTCCTCCGCTACCTCCTCCTTTTCCTCCTCCTCCTCCTCCTCATCCCGCTCACCCCTCCTTCCGTCACCCCCTTCTTCTTGGCACATCCCTCACACGCTTCGTGGCCCAACAGGGAGCTCCACCGAAGGCCCACATGCCAGCGCTCGCATGCGCACACCGCACCCGTTTTGGCTCACCCATCGCACGTGCCGTGGCCCCATAGGGAGCTCCACTGAAGGCCTCAATGCCAGCGCTCGCATGCGCCCACCTCTTTTTTCCGGCACACCCCAGGGAGCTCCACTGAAGACGCAGATGCAAAACTCGCATGCGCCCACCGCGCGCATTTTGGCACACCCCTCAACACCCCTCACACGCTTCGTGGCCCCATAGGGAGCTCCACCGAAGTCCCAGATGCCAGCGCTCGCATGCGCCCACCGCGCGCATTTTGGCACACCCCTCGCACGTTTCGTGGCCCCATAGGGAGCTCCACCGAAGGCCCACATGCCAGCGCTCGCATGCGCCCACCGCGCCCATTTTGGCACACACACACACACGCACACCCGCACACGCGCACACGCACACGCGCACGCGCGCACGCACACGCACACGCACACGCACACGCACACACACACGCACACGCACACGCACACGCACACGCACACGCACACGCACACGCACACGCACACACACACACACGCCCGCCCGCCCGCATGCACGCACGCACGCACGACGCACGCACGCACGCACGCACGCACGCACGCACGCGCGCGCGCACGCACACGCACACGCACACGCACACGCACACGCACACGCACACGCACACGCACACGCACACGCACACGCACACGCACACGCACACGCACACGCACACGCACACGCACACGCACACGCACACGCACACGCACACGCACACGCACACGCACACGCACACGCACACGCACACGCACACGCACACGCACACGCACACGCACACGCACACGCACACGCACACGCACACGCACACGCACACGCACACGCACACGCACACGCACACGCACACACACGCACACGCACACGCACGCACACGCACACACACGCCACACACGCACACACGCACACACGCACACACGCACACACGCACACACACACCACACGCACACACGCACACACGCGCACACACGCACACACACACACGCACACGCACACCCGCACACACCGCACACACCGCACACCCGCACACCCACACCCACACCCATACCCACACCACACCCACACCCACACGCACACCCACACCACCCACCCACCCACGCACGCACGCACACCACGCACACGCCACACGCGCACACGCGCACGCGCACGCACGCGCACGCACACGCGCACGCACACGCACACGCACACACACACACAGCCGTTTACCCACCCACGCACGCACACGCACGCGCTCATGCACACGCACACGCACACGCACACGCACACGCACACGCACACGCACAAGCACACGCACACGCACACGCACACGCACACGCACACGCACGCGCGTGCACGCGCGCACGCGCGCACACGCACACGCGCACACGCGCACACGCGCACACGCGCGCACGCGTGCATGCGCGCACGCGCACACGCGCACACGCGCGCACACGCACACACGCACACACGCACACACGCACACACGCACACACGCACACACGCACACACTTTTTGTTGGTCGGCGGTGCGAGAGCGAACAGACGCACACACGCACACACGCACACACGCACACACGCACACACGCACACACGCACACACGCACACACGCACACACGCACACACGCACACACGCACACACGCACACACGCATACACGCGCGCACACGCGCACACGCGCACACGCGCACGCGTTCTTCTTCTCTTCCTCTCCCGTCGTTTTGCATCTTATGGGAATTGGAGGCTTGTCCAGGGGGGGTGTCCCAGGGTGGTTGTCTGGATCCTTGCGGGGTTGTTCAAGAGGTTGTCCGGGTCGCGTTGTCTTGTCAGCACGTGCGCGCGTCATCATTGCGCACGCCATCAAAAACGTGGCGTTACCACGGAAGCTCAGCTGGACATGTCGCCTCTCTTTCCTTCTTTCCCCTCCTGTCCGTCATCCTGTTGCTGCTGCTCCTCGTCGTAAACCTCTCTTCTCCTGGGCATCCGTAGCCGCTGTGGCACAAGCTAGGATGTATCAGCGTCGGCTCTGCGCCCCGTAGCTACTGGCACGGTGCGCGATGATTGCAGCGATTTTGCCAAGACGCGATGCTTACACGAACCCTACGGTTGCAGCAGAGCTCTGTGCGAAGGCACCATTGAAGAACAAACAACGGCATACATATAATTTTCGTTTCGGCATTTCTTGGACTTGCGCTGGACACTCCTGGCTACGTCTCCGGCGCCGCCCCTTGGCGCGCTCCGCGCGACAGGGAGGGGGGTCAAGCGCGGATCCAAGGAAATCCGCCAGGATCTCTACTCGTCAGTCGTTGAAAGTAGACAGTTTTGGATCCTTGGAATCCAATCTACTTTTAGGCGCCTTCCCACTTCAACGATCGAGTGGGTTTCCCTTTTCCTTCATCTTTGGGTGGCGGGCGGAAACCCAATATATTTCCAACGGTTTCCTACTGTATGCTTCTACGTACACTCGGACCAAGGTCTCAGATCGAGGGCGGTCCGGGGAGAGTCCACTGATGTTATTCGTGCTTGTTTGATGTTTTTGTGCATCCTGGGGGACGGTGCCCTCGGATGTTCTGTGTGTTCTGGCCGGCCGAGGGTCTCGTGTTCTTGAGGGATGTTCTTCTGGCTTAGGTCCGACCGTACCCAATTCTTCGGACCGACGGGTAACGGTTTCTGCTGTTGCAGTCTGCTTGTTCCTCCACAGCAGAGCTCCCATGGCGCCAACACCGCAGAGCGTGGTTTTTTGTTTGGACAGAATGAAGACAAGAAAACATCCACGTGAGTGAAGCTCACTTCGTTTTTCGCTCGCCGTTTCGAGGTGTTCCATTGACATCGGCGTCGCCCCGACATTCTCATACTATGTGTGCGTCGCCCCCCAGGGGCGACGCGCGCACCGAGAAATCTTCTAGTATATGCGTCGTGGCGGGTGCTCTATGGCCACACCGCTCGGGTTACGATATACTACAATATGTTTACATTGTATGATCGGGTTGGACGCGCGCCTCCGAGGAGGACATGTAGTATTAGTGTGTCTCTGCGCGTCCGATGTTGCACTGACAGACACCTGCGCACAAGTCCGCTGCAGCGCGTCTGCGAGGCTGGTGCCGTGAGAGCTCCTGTGCGTAGGCAGCCGCGGCCGCAGGCGATGCGGCTAAGACCACGGCCTCCGGCTCCGCCGACGGCGAGGCGCGGCGTGGCACGCGCGGCCGACGGCGGGCCGCCGGCGAGTACCGGGGAGCCTCCGCGAGCAGCGAGCACCAGGTGGCCAAAGCGGCTGTGAATATCGGCGGCCTGGATCGAGCAGTGGCGGAGCGTCTGGGCTCGCTCCTAGGCCCACCGAAGAACGTTCTGAGAGCCTTCTTGTGGTCTGCATAAAGTGTTCTTAGAGCATTTCTGGCTGAGACTGTCGTGTTTTGACACTGCGTGTTTATAAGAATATTGTTTTTGTTATTAGAGCGTTTCTGGGTTCTAAGAACATGGTGTGGTAGGCCCCTAGGAACGGCGGGACGGTCGGTCCCTGCTCAACTAAAAGCTTACGCCGACACCAACATCCAAGGGAGGAAACGGCACCCATACCGCTTTAGCCTCGGCTTCGCCTTTTGATTGGCCTCCTGGGAGGCCCTCGTTGCCCCCGCTGGATTGGCCTCGAAATCCTGGTCCGAACGCACCCCAGGAGAGGTCCGGGGAGTTGTTGGTTTCCCCAGACCCCCTCCAGTCATGATCAAATCACGACGGGAGGGTTTGCGCTATTTTCGGCCGTGGAGGGCCCTTACTGAACCTCGGGACAGTCAAATTACGATTCAGGATGAAAGCCCAGTCCCGGGCAGGGTCGAGACCATTGGGGGATCGACGCCGTAAAAAAATCATGGCGTCGGCGGTCTGGGACGGACGCAACATTGGCGGTCGCATCCGTCGGGAAGATGGCTCGGTCAAGGCGTTGGGCGGCCCCAGTGCTGCTGTCGGCGCCAGCATCTGGGACCATCTTCTCCTTGCGGAGTCGCCCCTAGCGATGCCGTCGGCTCCAGCTTCTGGGCCTCCGGGAATGCCTGGCTAGCGAGCCTTTCGGCTTCCACAGCACCTATTGGCCAGGACCCACTGTGGAGCCTTCTCTTGGAGACCCGAGACGTGAGGACTTGGTCGGCGCTTGCCGCGACGGATGCGCGCGCACGGCCCTCCACGACCGTCGTTCCCAATCCGTGCCCTCTTGAGTGCAAAGCGATTGCAGAAGCTGTGCCTGGCATACACGCTTTCCCTGCAACATCGCATGACTTGATTGCTGACTTGGGCGGTTTTGGAACCCTGCGAACCGACAAGTACAAGTTTTCAAAGAGCTTGATATCACATGGTTGGCATGGCACTTTCGGATTCGTTTGGCTTGATTATTGTGGAACGCTTGCGTCTGTAGTTGGCCATCAGCGTCAGAGCGACATTGCTCGCCTGTTTGAAAAGGAGCTTCTGGCCCCTGGGGCGTTGCTGTCCATAACACTGGCAGAGCGTGGCGCTGCTCAAATTTATGATGGTGAGCTGGCAGATTCGCTGATTGTGTGTGTGCGTGCTGCCGCCGCTGCCGCCGGGCAGACCGTGGAACTCGTGGGCGTCGTTTCCTATAGGGCGCCCGCTGCGATGGTGACGGCTGCTTTTGTCGTCCAGGGGAGCGCAGACGTCCACGCAGCTTGCCAGCGCGCACCGGCTCCACACGGCCTCCATTCGGTGTACCACCCCGGGCATGCGTGGACGCTTGGCCGTGGTCTGAGGGGGGGCGTCCCGCAGAGTCCCGTTGGGAGGGCCGTCGAGTTCTCGGCAGCCGCGTTCGCATCCGCCGTGGGAGCTGACGGGCGCGTCCTGGTGCTGGAGGGAAGCAAGCTGCTCCCTGTATCGCGAGCACTGGAAACAGTCGGTACCTTTCCAATCGCCGTCGCGCTCGAGGATGCGCTCGAGGCGCACGTGGCCGCCGCCCTGCTCGGGAGGGGCGTGGAGGTCCTGGGGGGGGCTGCGCTCATGGACCGCTTGGACCAGATTCGGCGACTACAAAGGGTATGGTTACGCCGGGGTGTGGCTTGCGATCGGCACCGTTGGGGCCTGGGTGGCACGACCTGTCCTCGTCGGGCCTCCTCGGGGCGCGGGAGAACTCTATCGAGGTCCCCGCGCGCCCCCCAGGGTGCCCCCCAGGATGTTCCCCAGGGTGCCGGTTGCAAACCACACCCTTTGCAAACCACACCTTTCGGAGTCGCCGACAGATGCCTGGCTCTGTGGATGCGGCGTGGCTGAGCTATGAAGGAGGAAGGTCGCACACAGCTACGGATCTGCTCGATTGTCGCGAGTGGCCCCATCTTCGGAGGCCTGGAGGTTAATACCAGCACCAAGGTCTGCGGTGTGCCTTCACCGAGGCAAGATGCTCATCTGGGATCATCTTACCCCTGTGGAGGCAACCTCCTGTGTTGGTGTTGGTGCCCATTTCCAGGCCTCCAACATCTCAACAAATTCTTGACGCTTCGCGTATCCCCTGACCAGCCCTGGCATGTGCACTCGCTACAGCGGCCTACGTGCCTCTGCAGCCAATTATCTCGCTCTGTGGCCCAGACGTTCATCCCGCTCACTGGATCTGTCCTTCGAGCCGTCCAACCAAAAAAATCCCCTGACCAGGGCATCCGAACACGATGCCAGGACGAGCTGTCTTGATCACAGGAGTGCTGGCGCAAGAAGCGAAGGAAAGAGGGGGAGCCAGCCGTCAAACCGAAGCTCGGGATCCGCCTGAGCAGACCCACGAGTGAACAATAAACGCCTTCGCGGATCTTTCGATATGGGAGCTTCTTGGCAGCTTACTGGGGCCATTTTGGAGGCTTTTGTGGCTCTCTTGGGGCCACTGTGCGGCCTTCTTGGGGCAACTCTGAAAGAGCTTGGGGCTTCTTGGAGCTCTCTTGGGGGCAGTGCTGCGACCCCGTGCCCGACGACGCAGCGACAGCCCTGTCCGCGGCGACGACCGCGCCGCGGCCCCAGGACGGCGACCACGGTCCCCGCGGCGACTCGGTAACAGCCCTCCGACGAAGCGCTGGCGGCGTGGCGTGACGGCGGCGGTGGTGGCTGCGTGGGGTGGTCACGGCGGCACCAGTGGTCCTGGCGGCGGCCTCCGTGACGGCGACGCCGCCCCTGACGACCCCGACGACGTGGACGCCAACGACCTCCTCCCGCCCAACGCCGACGGCCCCTCCCCAGACGACGGATCCGTCCTCGAGGCCCCCGGTGCGACCCCGCGCCGGGCGACGCGACGACCGCCCGCAGCCCTGGCGACGACGCCGACGGCCCTGGCCCCGAAGACAGCGACGCGGCGGCCCAGGGCGGCCACCTCGGTCCCAGCGGCACCCTTGCGGCACCTTCTCCTCCGCCGCCGGCACGGTGTTGCGGCGGCGGTGGTGGCTGCGTGGGGTGGTCACGGCGGCCCCAGCGGCCGTGGCAGCGGCCCCCGCGACGGCGGAGCCGCCCTTGACGACGACGCCAACGACGACGACCCCGACACTGTGTACGTCGAAGGCCGCCTCCTCCACCCGCCGTCGGCCCTTCCCCGACGACGTCGGCCCCTGCTGCGACCCCGCGCTGAGCGACGCAACGACGGCCACGGCCTCGGCGACGACGCCGACGACCCTGGACCCGGCGGCCCCTCGCGACGAAGCGGCGGCGGCATGGCGTTGGCGATGTGGCGATTCCACCCGAACGCCGCGCGTGACCCTCCGGTTCGGGTGGTCTCGCCTCTACGGCTCCGGGCGGCGGCGAGAGCCCTCTTGCCTCTGCCCCCCGGCGGCAAGGGCCGGCGGTCGGCCAAGCCGAGTGCGTCGGCTCGCCCAGAGACGCGCCTTTCCCTTCACAGCCGTCCTCGGCGGAGGGTGTCACTGGTTTCCCTTTTACTCTTCCCAGCAGCGGACATAGGAAAGAGCGCGCCCGTCGCACACTCCTTACTTGAAGGGCTCCCCTTTCAAAGGGTGGGGGGGTGTTTCCCAAGCTACCCCCCCTCCTTTGTTTGGATGTTGTAGCTGGGGGGGTCCTTTTCGGGGCCTGAGGTAAGCCCGGGCTCCCTTTCCCAAAGGGAGGGGCTTCCGAAGCTCCCCCCGCTCCCTTCCTTCTGTTGGCGTTTCCAGCTGTAGGGCCCTGGCTGAAGGGGGGGCTTTGAAGCTACTTTTCTTTTTTTGGTTTTTGGCACCGTCTTGGTTTTCGGCGACACCGTCGTTGTTGGCGACCTTTTGGTTGTCGGCGCCCTATTGGTTTTCGGCGCCCCTGTGGTTTCTGGTGTCTTTTTGAAGTTCGGCGACCCTTTCGGCGCTCTTTTTGGCTTCAGCGCTCTTCGGTTTTCGGCTCCCTGTTTGTTTTCGGCGCCGCTCTGGTTTTCGGCGCCTTTTTGGTTTCGGCGCATGCTTTGGTTTTCGACGCCCTTTTGGTTATCGGCGCCCCTTTGGGTTTCGGCGCTGCTTTTGGCATTTGGTGTTCGGCGTATGGTTAGTTTTCGGCGCCTCTTTGGTTTTCGGCGCCCCTTGGTTTTCGGCCTCCCTGCGGTTTTCGGCGCCATGATGGTTTTCGGCTTTTTTTCGGCGCTCTGTCCTTCTTCGGAGCTTCTGTTGTTTTCGGCGTGCCTTTTGTAATTCTCGGCGCCCTTAAGCGCCCTCTAGTTATTGGCGCCCTTCTGGTTTTCGGTGCATCGTTGGTTTTCGGCGCCCCATTGGTTTTCGGCGCTCCTCTTGGTTTTCGGCGCTGCTTGGGAATTCGACGCCCCTTTGGGTTTCGGCGCTCCTTAAGTTTTCGGCGCCCCTTTGGTTTTCGGTATCGTTTTGGGTTTGTGGCGCCCTTTTGGTTTCCGGCGCATCCATTGCCTTACGCGTTTCTTTTTGAGTTCGGCGCGTTTTTGGTTCCTTTGTTGGTGTCGTGCGCTGCCTTGGTTTTTCGGCGCCCTTTTGGTTTTCGGCGCTCCTTTGGTTCTGGGTGCCTTCGTGGTTTTGGCGCTCCTTTGCTTTTCGGCGCCTTTCGCTTATCGGCGTCCTTTCGGTTTTCGGCGCTCCCTTGGTTTTCGTCACCGTTTTGGTTTTTGGTGCCCTTTCGATGTTTGTCGACCTCTTGGTTGTCGGCGCCATGTTGGTTTTCGGCGCCCCTGTGGTTTCCGGCGTCTTTTTGAAGTTCGGCGACCTTGTGGTTTTCGGCGCCCTTTCGGCTTCGGCGCTCTTCGGTTTTCAGCGCCCTGTTTTTTTTCGGCGCCGCTCTGGTTTTTGGCCTCTTTTTGGTTTTCGGCGCCCGTTTGGTTATCGGCGCCCCTTTGGGTTTCGGCGCTGCTTTTGGCATTCGGTGTTCGGCGCATGGTTAGTTTTCGGCGCCTCTTTGGTTTTCAGCGCCTCTTTGGTTTGCGGCCCCCCTGCGGTTTTCGGCGCCATTATGGTTTTCGGCTTTTGTTTTCGGCGCTCTGTCCTTCTTCGGAGCTTCTGTTGTTTCTGGCGCGCCTTTTGTAATTTTCGGCGTCCATTTGGTTTTCGGCGACCCTTTAGTTATTGGCAACCTTTTGGTTTTCGGCGCATCGTTGGTTTTCGGCGCTCCTTTCGTTTTCAGTGCTCCTTTGGGTTTTCGGCGCTACTTGGGTGTTCGGCGCTCCTTTGGTGTTCGGCGCTCCTTGGGTTTTCGGCGCCCCTTTTTTTTGGTATCGTTTTGGGTTTGTGGCGCCCTTTTGGTTTCCGTCGCATCCATTGCTTTCCGCGATTATTTTTGCGTCTGGCGCGTCTTTGGTTTTCGTCATTTGTTGGTTTCTTGCGCTGCCTTGGTTTTTCGGCGCCCTTTTGGTTTTCGGCGCTCCTTTGGTTCTGGGCGCCTTCGTGGTTTTCGGCGCCGCTCTGGTTTTCGGCGCTTTGTTGGTTTTTGGCGCATCGTTGGTTTTCGGCGCCCTGTTGATTTTCGGAGTTTTTTTTGTTTTCAGGTGCCTCCTTGTTTTTCGGTGTTCTTTTGGTGTTTGGCGCCTTCTGGCTTTCGGCGTCCCGTTGCTTTTCGTCGCTCTTTTGGTTTTCGGCGACCCTTTGGTTTTCGGCGCCCTTTTGGCTGTCGGTGCCCTTTTGGTTTTCGGCGCACCTTTGGTTGTCGGTGGGCCTCTGGATTTCGGCTCCGTTTTGGTTTTCGTTGGCCCTTCTTTGTTTTCGGCAATCTATTGGTTTGCGGCGCTCTTTTGGTCTTCGGCGTCCCTTCCTTTAGCCAAATGGGGGGGTGGCTTCCAAGCCCCCCCCTTCATTTAGCTACCCCCCTCCTTAGAAAGCGGGGAGGGGAGGGGGGGATAGCTTCCGGAGCCCGAAGGCGGGGAGGGGCGGGGGTGGGGGCAGCTTTCGAGGGGCGGGAAAAAAGGGGAGGAGGGGGAAATGGGCTTCGGGCAGGGGAGGTCCGGGGTTGGGGGGTAGCTGAGGGGGGACTCCCGGCATGCCTTCTCGAACATGTGCATCCTGTTGCTGCGTATCTGGTGTTTGGGGCCTTGAGGGCCCTCTTGAGGCGATCTTGGGGGCCATCGATCAAGAACGGGAGCGGCGTGAATATTACGCCCACTCGCCGGGGACCAAGAAATTATTGTTTGGGCATCTCTTGGGGCGCTATTGGGGCGCTCTTGGTTATGTATAGGATCCTCCTGGCCCCTTTTTGGAGCGTTACCAAACCATCATGGAGGCAGATTGAGGCCTCAAGGGTTCCGCGGCCACTTGGAGCCGTCGTTGGTCGGTCTGTCAGTTTTTGGGAAGCATGTTCAAAACCATATTGAGCCAACCTGAGCTGTCTTGTGCGATCTCGGATGCCACCTCTTTGGCTATCTAAGACAATCGCGTGTCTTCTCGCAAACTCTAACCGCTCGCGGGGGGAGTGGTCCATGCCTGGGGGCGGGTGTATATACCACCCTCCGCGCCCAGGTTCGGGCATTGAGCGTTCCGCTTGTAGGAGCTACGACGAATATGTACTATGTGGCAAGAGGCCCACCAGCTGTCGGGACTCAAGCACGTCACTGGGGTGTCCACAAGGCTGCAACAAGTCGCGGTAGACTTCTACGCCCACGGTGAACAGCGCTTCGATGCGCCTTTGACTGGCCTTAGCGGCTTTGCCATGTATGCGGTATCCTCTCAGGGGAGGATGTAGGGGGATGGGACCAAGCTATCCTCAAGCCGTAAGCCGTCTCGCTCATGACAACCCGCCCTCCCAACAATTGAGTAACCCGCCCGCTCAACAATTGAGTAACGTCCGGGTGTCAGCATGGGCACGGTCGCCGTCGGCAACCGTCGGGAAGAGGTGCAGACGCCAGCCAGGTGCGCGAGGGCGCCCGTATCGTCCCTGACAGAGAATTGTGCAACCGGACTTTGGGGTTGCGCGCTCATCCTCGGAATCCAAGGGGAGGCCTAGGAATCCCCAGGAGTCCCGACACTGGCCGCCGCGGGAGGGGATTTGTTTTCCAAGTCGCACTTGCGGTCCCAAACCTCCAATCATCCCGCGGAAAAAAAACAATTAGTTTCCATTCTGCAACATTGTAGACTTTTCGCGTTTTTTTTTTGACAGGGATGGTGGGCTTGCACACGTGTGGCAACATGCTAACACCCACGCCGCTCCTGTCAAAGCACAATGGAAATACGGTTCTCGTGGGGCGCCTGAACACGATCCACACTGTGGGGTACCGTGAATGTGTTGTAGTCTTCGACAGGGGTGGCAGTGTCGGTCTTGGCCTTGGTTGTGATGGTTGTGTTGGTGGAGTGGGACGGGGCGTACAACAATACGAGGGGCCAAAAAGCTACCCCGAATGACGAGCTCGGTCCCACCCGCCCTCCCGCCGCAGAAGCAACAGCCGAGCCGCAGCACCAGGTGCGCCTGATGCACGTGGCCGGGTCGGCGTGGCGTACGGCTTGGGCCCCGGGAGCCCGCCATGTGGTTTCGAATGTTCTGTGTTTTTGGCAGGGGCGGTGGGCCCGCGCGCAGCGTGGTAGACAGTCTGCGGGCACCCCCGCGGCCTTCGCCCAAAAAAGAATGCAGAGTGGTTGCGGGGTCCTTGCGCATGCGAGCTTTTTTTCTCGCCAGGATCACGCTTGTTACCCGGGCCCCCTCCTCCTCGGGTGACGCTGACGATTGTATTGGGCGGGGGGCTGGCCCCCCCGCTACATGTTCTTGTGCACACAAGCGATGGATGCGCCGGTGGCGCGGAAGCATCCTGGCGGGTGCACGCCGCGGCCGCCGTTCCCGTTACCCTCCCGCCCGGGCCCCCATCCCCCCCCGGGTAACGACCGTTACCCAGGAAAGAAAAACATATCTTGGCGAAGGGCCGAAGCATATCCAATTGTAAGTACCGCATTGTGGGTACGGCTTTCGGTCGGGCTCCCTATGGGGCCACGACCCTCGTGAGGGTGTGCCAAAATGGGCGGGGGGACGCATGCGGACCCTGCCACTGGGACCTTCGATGGAGCTCCCTCTGGGGCAGCGATCCTCCTGAGGAGTGTGCCGAAATGGGCGGGGGGACGCATGTGGACCCTGCCGCTGGGGCCTTCGGTGGAGCTCCCCATGGGGCAAGATTCTCATGAGGGGTGTGCCGAAATGGGCGGGGGGACGCATGTGGACCCTGCCATTGGGTCCTTCGCTGGAGCTCCCTATGGGGGAACGATCCTTGTGAGGGGTGTGCCGAGATGGTCAGGGGGACGCATGTGGACCCTGCCGCCGGGCCCTTCGGTGGAGCTCCCCATGGGGCCACGATCCTCCTGAGGGGTGTGCCGAAATGGGCGGGGGGACGCATGTGGACCCTGCCACTGGGGCCTTCGGTGGAGCTCCCTATAAGGTGCCACGATCCTTGTGAGGGGTGTGCTGAGATGGGCGAGGGGACGCATGCGGACCCTGCCGCTGGGTCCTTCGGTGGATCTCCCTATGGGGCCACGATCCTGGTGAGGGGTATGCCGAAATGGACGGGGAAAAGCATATGGACCCTGCCGCTGGGGCCTTCGGTGGAGCTCCCCATGGGGCAACGATCCTTGTGAGGGGTGTGCCAAATAGGCGGGGGGGGACGCATGCGGAAACTGCCATTGGGTCCTTCGCTGGAGCTCCCTATGGGGGAACGATCCTTGTGAGGGGTGTGCTGAAATGGGCAGGGGGACGCATGTGGACCCTGCCGCCGGGCCCTTCGGTGGAGCTCCCTATGGGGCCGCGATCCTCATGAGGGGTGTGCCGAAATGAGCGGGGGGACGCATGTGGACCCTGCCGCTGATGGAGCTCCTTACGAGGCCACGATTCTCGTGAGGGGTGTGCTGTGTGCTGAATAGGCGTGGGGACGCATGCGAACCCTGTCGCTGGGGCCTTCGGTGGAGCTCCCTATGGGGCCACGAAGCGTGAGAGGGATGTGCCGAAATGGTGGACACGCGGAGAGCAGAGGCAGATATGTGAGGAGGGAGGAGGGGGAGGAGGAGAGAGTGAGGAGAGAGTGGCCAAGGGGCGCTGTCTCTTCAAAACGAAGACCCAACACCACAGGAAGGTTGGGAAAACGGCACCATGGTCCAAGATTTTGCCGCAGAGAATACTTCGCACCGTGTTTTTTACAGGGATGGTGGGGCTGCACACAAACACACCAGGCAATGCTGCCGCCCCCGCCGTCCCTGTCAACAGCCAACGTAGAGTGATCGCAGGACCCCCGAGCATGGTCTGAGATCTCGCCGCACAGGGCATTTTGCCTTGTTTTTCAAAAGGATGGTGTGGTTGGAGTCGGCATTGTTCCTGGTCGGCCGCTGGTCGAGTGGGGCAAGGTGTGTTTATTAGCCGGGGGCAGTGATGAATCTCTCCCCGAAGAGGAGGAAGGGGGTTGGAAGAACAAACTTGTTGAGTCACCTACGCCCTGGAAGGCTGTTGGGATTACTGGTGCATCGCAGACTGGCGCCGCGTGCAATGCTTGCTGTGAGCATCGCTTATGGGTCCACCGTCGACATCTGGCAGGGTAGCGCTGCGGATTGGGTGATCACAGGCATGCGCCAAGCTTGTGAACATCACGGCTACGGAATTGGAGGAGCATCTGTGATCAAGTACCAGGCGAATGCGCCGCGACTTGTCGTAATGGTACGTTTGCAAGAGAAGAGCGTGTCGGAACCAGTACGGGGATTGAGTGGTTCGATAGCCGAAGAAGCTGCCAGTGTTCGCTCAAAAGGGTGGGAGTATTGGCATGTATGGGAGGTGGACCGCCCGAAGATGCCCACGGCCGATTCTGGGCGCCTTTTCCTGGTAGTCCAGCGCATTTCCGCAGCCCTCCGCAGGATGAACGCGCGATCGGTGTTTCTGCATGAGCCCGGATTTTTCATCGTGCTGCCTGCCCTTCTCGACATGGCGCTCCAGGTCACCTGCTGTGCGGCCCGTGACCTGGTTTTGTCCTCGGAGATCGCGCGCCGCGGGCTCAAGCTCTGTGCGCAGTGCGGTCTGGATTTGTCCGAGAGCGAGCACTGTAGGGCGCCCGAAGATGCCGATGCCTTGCTGCTTCTCGACAGGTGCGGCCCTGCCGCGTGGCAGCGCAGGTGGGCAGCCCTGTCCCGCGAGTGGCTCCGCGCCCCAGCAAGAGCGGGCGGCCTCGTTGCGCTTATGTTCGAGGGCTCCGACGCCTCTGCGCTGGCAGCCGTCACTGCGGGGCTTCTTGATGGCGTTGTGTCGGCACGGGTGGCTGCAACGGCGACCTTCGTGCACTCATCGCGCCGATGGGCTTTTGCAATCATCCACGTCGGAGATGATAGAATCGAGGACGCTTTGCTCCCCCCTGCGCATTAGTACCTAGTACCTGCCTTTCCCTATCGGGCATTGCGTGCTGATCCGACTGATGAGTTGTGGGTGCTGAAGTCGCATTCGGCGCTTATATTTGCGCATTCACGATGGCCATCAAGATAGTGTAGGCTTACGGTTAAGTCGGGCACGTCCCTCTACAGGAGGAATGTTCAAAAATAGTAAAGAGTAGTCGGGGGACAGATGTGTGAGTATTTTTGAGTTTTTTTGTTGATTATTTTTGTGAATATTCCCCAATCAGTCTTTCCACTGAAGGGGTCCTAGCGGAAGTTGAAAGATTTGGCGAAAGTTTCCCGCCGATTTTGGTAGCAGGCTGGGTTCCCGGGTTCCCGGTTCCGGGTTCCCCGGTTCCCAGTTATTGGTTCTGGGCCGATTTTGGTGTGTTTCGGGTTCCCAGGTTTTGGGGTTCCCAGTCGATCCCCTCAGCGAAAACCATCCACTGATTGGGTTTTTTTTCTCTGATGTAATTTTTAATTTTCCGTCCAAGCTCCGCCTGTAGGGGGACGTGCTCGACTTAAGACAGTGCAGGCTTGCGGTAGTTTGCCCTGTCCAGCATAGCAGCGTTCTCCATTCTGCTCTGTAGCACTCGCTCTACGCGGCAAAAAGCTCGCGAGTGGTGCCCGAGCGCTCTCTGGACAGCCTGCCTCCAGCAATATCACGCAGGAGCCAGCAGTTCATACATCGCACCTCCGCCGACCTACAGTGGGGGCGGGCAACAAGAAACCATATGCTTATCGTCTGGGTGCCCTGGGTTACTTCGCTCCGCACGCTGCGTGGTGACTTTCAGCGGCCGCTGAAGTAGCTGCTGCGTCCAGGGTGCTCCAGGTGTTCTCTCAGGTGCACTTGGCGCGCGGGCTTGCAGGGCCAGGTTTCTTGCGAGGGCTTCTTGCGGCCGCGCCCACACCACATCCGGCCCGTCCCTGGAGGAGAGCACAGTCACGACCTGCCTGCACGGGCCGATCAAGGACAAGGCCGTGGGCGAAAACATGCCCGTCTCCGCGGCTTCGCGGGCCGGGCCCCTGGGCCGCGATCCCGCGGATACGCGCCGGTCGCTGAAAGTGGGTATTTTTTGGATTCCCAGATCCCAATCTCTTTCAAGCGCCTTCCTACGTCAAGGATTGACACGCTTTTGCTGTGTTTTGTTATTTCCTGGGGGGGCCTGGACCCAATCAACTTAATCCGCCTTCCTAGTTCATGTTTTGACCTACTTCTTCCGACCGACGTGTACGGGGCTCTTTTCCGCGGACACCTCTTGCGGAACGTATCTGCGCGACCGCGTGTCCGCGGGATCGCGCCCCAGAGCCCAGACCGAGAGGCCGCGGATACGGATATGTTCGCCGCTCGTGGCTAGGGCGAGGGCGTCAAGTACGACAACGCCGACGTTGTCTTCTACGCGGCCCCGTGCCCGCCCCGGCGCTCTGCCCTCGTGATTTCTGTCTGTGTTTGTTCCCCGTGGTGGGCATGTTGCCTCTCATTGCCTCCCACTGGGGGGCTGGCTGGGGCTGGCCAGAGGGTGGGAGATCTTCGAGATTTGTGGCTCGAGGTTTTCGAGCGTTTTCGTCGGCTCTTGGCAGTTTTCCAGCGTCGGGATGCTTTCCAGCGGCTGCGCCTCTCCGATAGCTTTCCGGCAGATCCCTGATCGAATCGAGCGGCCGCCGAGGAGCCGAGGCATGACTCGAACTTTGGCTGGGGTTGGCCAGAGGGTTTCAGGGGTGATTCAAGAGGGAAGCAATATGCACACACACATACAACAAGCAAACGTTGATTTCCATGGTGATGTAGAGATGTGGGAAAGGGAGGGGAAGGAGTATCCAGGAGATCTTGACAAGTACGGGGAATCCTGGGATTTGTGTAGACTTGTTTGTGTCTCAGTTGGCCTCCGTGGCAACGTGAGGGGGAGATAGGTTTAGGGCTATGATGTTCCAACCTATTTTAGCCGTGATCACCAGACAGATTTTTCAGTACCAAGAGAGCGCCGAAATCTGTGTGTTGTCACGTGCCGGACCCTGGGAGGCGATACTCTTTCGAAACTGTTTCGATACTTTACTGGGTGCTCGAAATTATTTCTGGGATGCGGTTCTGAAGTACGATGGAAGCAACGTAAGCTTAGGGGAGGCTGCGTCGACCCCCAAACGCCCTCCCATCGCCGACAGGGGCCCGATGGCCCACCCCGCTCAGGACCGTGCGGCTTCGCTGTCGGGGGCATGTCGTCGACCCATCGGCGACTTGCTTCCAGCTCCGTGCTTTCCCTGTTGAGCCCGGTCACTCCCTCGCGTTGCTCCAGGCCTCCCGGATGGGTCGGAGTAGATGGGGTCGCAGGATTGCGCCGCATCGCCGATGCATCGGCGATGCGGCTCGATGTGGAGCCCGACTTTCGCCTCGCCGACGGCGCCAATGCATCGCCGATACATCGCCGGTGCATCGCCGATGCATCGCCGATGCATCGCCGATGTATCGGCGATGCGGCGCGATCTTCCGACCTCATCTACTCGGACCCCATCTAGGAGGCCTCCAGTTTGCCCTCAGGGTTCGCCAGGGCAGTTCTTCGACAGGTGGCCCTCTCCAGGAGGTCTTGTGTGGCAGGCTCGCGCCGCATCGACCGGCGGCAGCGGCTGCCGCCGTCGTTCCACCTTGCAAGCCCGCGCTGGGGCTGCAGGGCAGCCCTGGCGCGGGCTTGCAGGGTGGAACGCCACCCGTGGCCCAGAATCGAGCCATCGATGAACGATTCGGTATGTCTGAATCGGCCGATCGTTCAAGTTTGAACCATCCCCGCGGTGTCAGGAACCAACGCTGGGGTCGACACGACACGAACCTGCCGTACCATGGGATCAGCCGCCGGGGGTCTATGGTGCCAGACCCTCGACGTCCTAGTTCCCTACCTAGGCTCTGCCTAGAAGGGTTCTTACTCGGAAGCTTAAAGGGCCGGGCAGTGTAACCCGCCCCGGGCGGTTCCCCCAGTATCCGCCCCGCGGTTCCCCCAGTTACGTCCCTTTAGCTTAGCGTTGCTTATCTCATCTTAGCTTAGCTTATTTCATCTTAGCTTAGCTTAGGTTCATCTTAGCTCAGGTTTATCTTAGCTAGCTTATCTTCATCCGGCCCCGCGATTCCCCCAGGATCTGCCCCCTGGGTTCACCCAGCTTAGCTTCGCTAAGCTTAGCTTAGCTTAGCTTAGCTTATCTCATCCAAGCTTAGCTTAGCTGAGCTTAGCTTTGCCTAGCCTAGCTTGGCTTAGCTTAGCTTAGCCTAGCTTAGCTTAGCTTAGCTTAGATTACCTCACCTTAGCTTAGCTTAGCTTAGCTTAGCTCAGCTCAGCTTAGCTTAGCTTATCTTTGCTTGGATTGGCTTGGCTTAATTTAGCTAAGCCTAGCCTAGCTTAGCTTAGTTTAGCTTAGCTTATTATAGCTTAGCTTACCTTAGCTTAGCTTAGCGCAGCGCAGCATAGCGCAGTGCAGCATTAGCACAGCATAGCATAACCAAACATAACATATCATATCATATCGTATCATGTCGTAGCATATCATAGCATAGCACAGCATAGCATGGCATAGCTCAGCATATCATATCATATCATATCATATCATAGCGCAACATAGCATAGCGTAGCATAACATAGCATAGCATGTCTTAGCATAGCACAGCGCAGCATGACATAGCATACCCTAGCCTAGCCTAGCCTAGCCCAGCATAGCATTGCGCAGCATAGCATAGCATAGCTTAGCATAGCATAGCATAGCATAGCAGAGCAGAGCAGAGCAGAGCATAGCATAGCGCAGCACAGCATCCACTATTGCTGCTGCTAATGTTGCTTTCCTAGAGGCTCCAACTCCTAGGTAGGGTCGCACTGGGATAATTTGTTCCTATCACGTGGGCCCCCGTCTGGACCCCCTCCCGGAGACTGGTTTTTCATCAACGGTCCCGAGGCCCTGTAAGGGCCCCCTGAGGCCGAAAACTATCGAAAACCGTGCGTCGCGTTTTTTCGTGAACCGAGGGGATCTCGGGATGGGGGTGGTGGAAAGCAGGCCCGCCTGCCTGCGTCGGCCTCCCTTTGTCCCCGTCGTCTCCCCTGGTGTGTCGCAAGCTCGCCGCGCGACGCCCACGTCGTCCCCCTTCAGTCAGGAGGGGGACTAAACACGGCCCCAATGAATCGTCGACTCCCCAGAAAATGCAGGAAAATATGGGAAGTGGGGGGAAAGCAAGAACAGAGAAAATATTGGGAAATATAAGGAATTCTGCTATTTGTGTCTATGTATTTGCGTGTCCCAGGGCCCCTTCACTCAGCCCCATGCTCGGTGCCCCTCGTCGCCCGCCCCCCCCCCCGCTGCCTCGGGCTCGGGGGTATCTGGAGGCACCCGCTGAGATCTCCGCGGGCCGAGGGGCGGCAATCGTCAACAGGCCTAGGGGGGCGGAGGAGCTGAGCGTGCGTAGGGCGGCCCCTCCGGTCACGACTGCGGCACCTTGGGGCCGCGCTGAGGCTTGCGGGAGCTCGGTGGTTCCCGTCCAGTCTCCGTGGGCTCGGGAGAGCGGGGCCCCTCCTCCGGGAGGAGGAGGAGGACGATGGCCAAGTTGGCCAGGGCGAGCGAGTCAGCGGGCCGCGCCCGTTCCCATCTTCCCATACATAAGAATCAATTGTGGCACAAATTGTTGTTGGAGATTGGAGAGCGTTCCCACCCAGCGAACGGACGACACTCACGCGCGGCCCCGCCGCCGACGACTTACGAATGGCAAACTTCGCTGGCCGCCCGCGCAGCAGCGGGAGGGCAAAGCTTTCGATGAGCGCGGCGAAGATGAAGCACATGCCGCACCAAGCGGAGCTGCCCTTTGCACACACACACACGCACACACACGCACACACACACACACACACACTTGTTGGCGTCGTGGCCGTGCGGGCGGCGACAGGGCGTAGAAGGTCAGAACACAGCAAACGCGCGCACGCACACCCACACACACGCACTCGCACATTTACAATCCCATCCACCTTCTGTCAC